TTACCGCACGTGTTATGTGGCAACATTGCCCCGAGGCTGCCATATGGCAAGGCAGCCTCAGTCTGACTGTGTGAGCCGTGCATGGCCAATGTAGTCACCACTTGTATTTCTCTCATCCATAATAAACGGACTTCAGTGTTACACGGTGTTTCTCACCCATCACTGCATTCTTCAGGGAACACTTGTAACCACCACGTCCTCCCACACAACACCTCCCTGTTCCTCCTACACAACACCTCCCTGTCCCCTCTCAACACCCTCCCGCCTTCACACAACACCCCTCGCCCTTTCACACAACACCTCCCCGCCCCTCCTCACACAACACCTCCTGCCCCTCCCCACACCTACACCTCCCCTGGCCCCTCCCACACAACAACACCTCCACGTCCCTCCCACACAACAGCTCCCTGTCCTCCCACACAACAGCTCCCCCGTCCCCTTCCCACACAACACCCCTGTCCCTCTCACACAACACCTCCCCGTCTCTCACACACCTCCCCGTCTCTCTCACACTACCTCTCCATCCCCCCGTCCCTCTCACACACAACACCTCCCCGTCCCTCCCACACTACACCTCCCCATCCCTCACGACCACACCTCCCCGTCCCTCTCACACAACACCTCCCCGTCCCTCCCACACAACACCTCCCCCCTCAATCCCATGCACACCTCCCCGTCCCACCCACACAACACCTTCCCGCTCTCCCACACTATACCTCCCTGCCCCTCTCACATAACACCTGTCCCTCCCCACACAACACCTCCCCGTCCCTCTCCCACAACACCTCCCTGTCCCTCTCACACTACACCTCTCCATTCCCCCGTCCTTCTCACACACACACCCGTCCCTCTCCCCAACACCTCCCCGTCCCTCTCACACAACACCTTCCGTCCCTCTCACCACCCCGTCCTCCCCACAACACCTCCCCGTCCCTCCCACATCCACCTCCCCTCCCTCCCCACATCACCTCCCCGTCCGTGTCACAACACCTCCCCGTCCCTCTCACACCAACACCTCCCCGTCCCTCTCCACTACACTCTCCATCCCCCGTCCTTCTCACACAACACCTCCTCGTCCCTCATCACCTCCCCGTCCCTCCCACACAACACCTCCCCGTCCCTCCCACACATCACCTCCATCCCTCCCACACAACACCTCCCCGTCCCTCACCACACTAACACCTCTCACTTCCTCTCACACCCGTCCCTCTCACACTACCTCTCCATCCCCCGTCCTTCTCACACAACACCTCCTCGTCCCTCTCACACAACACCTCCCCGTCCCTCCCACTCAGCACCTCTCCGCCCTTCCCACACTACACCTGTCCATCCCTCCGTCCCTCTCACACAGCACCCCTCGGCCCTATCCACTCAATGCTTCCCCGCCCTTTCTACATAGTACCTCCCCGCCCCCTCCCATTCAACACCTCCTACTCAGCACCTCCCTGCCCCTCTCATTTAGCATCACCTGTCTCTCGCACTCAGCACCTCTCCGCCCCTTCCACTCAATACCTCGCCCTTCCTACACTGCACCACCCCGCTGTCACATTTACACAGTATATATTGGAAATTGTCGAACGTGACACCGAAATCCATTAATGCGGAAATGGCAAAATATTTAGCGATCTAAATTTCACCAATGCTAATAAAAACACAAGTCACATTGATGACGTTGATGTTGCAAAATGTGATTGATGATGCCAACGATAGAATAATTTATTTAATTTGAAGAACGACCGACCCAGTTCTACAGGGTCATCAAAAAACAAGGTAGGCATGATTAAAATCAAACGATTTTAATCAAGTGATTTTAGTCGATTATAATCAGAGAAAAAAATAATTGGTTATAATAAAAAAAAATTATTTTAAATGTAATAATCTAAAAAATAAAAAGATATTTGACATCATTTTGTGTACTGTCTATCACTATTAATCATCTAAAAATCTATAATAACAGAGATAAATAGACCAAGTCACAACACACAGGAGCAGTTGTGGGTGAGTTCCTGCCTATTTTTTGTCTTCTATAAGTTCTACTATATGACCTATACTGTATGAACAAAATGTAATATTATTTATTTTATATAAATATAGAAGCATTTATTTCCTAATTCTGGAAATCTTAAGTATTTTCTTATTAATATATAACTAATTTGGATTCAATGTGTATTTCATAATCATGTTATATGTAGGTTCCTGGCCTCTGTATTTTTCAACAATGATATTTATTATTTTCAAAAAGATTATGTTGCTTTTATTTTAGGGAAATTCTTTTCAGTAACAGTATAGTTAAAAGAAATTTGATTAAATTTCGTTATTATATACAAATTCAATAAATAGCAAGTTTTTCAATCAAGTGTATAATAAACTTTCATAAAGGCATTTGAGCCAAATTATATGCACATTAAAAAAAATAAGGTAATTTTAATATATGTTACATAAATATGATAATGTCTTTAAACATACTACATAGAAAAGGTCTGTGTTATTATATAAGAAAATGAAATGTGAATAAATGGATAAAAAAATGGATTATAATAAAGAAATCTGATTTTAATAAAAATAAATCGATTAATTTTATTTTTATTAAAAAATCGGATTTTTTTCCAAACCCTGTCAAAAATAATACTCAGATTTAAATACAGGTATTTAAACATTACAGAGTAAACAACAAAAAGGAAAGCACCCAGGTTTTTCTGCCCTGCATAACCATTCCAAATTTTGGGCAATGTTTTTCGATCATCCTGAAACGAAAAGTCTAACAGAAGACACAATAAAACAAGTTTATTTTCTTATGACAAAATCCCCGTTAAGTGCCGGTGAAAAGTGTAACAGAAATACATTTTCAGAGAGAAATTCCTTCCTACAAGAATTTCAAAAACAGATTTATTCACTTAAGGCGAAATAGATTTACGTGTTTCATCGATAGTGGTGGAGCAGGTTGTCTCGGTGAGGAGGAGGAGGAGGAGGAGGAGGAGGTGCAGCCCTGGGAAGAGGAAGAGGAGATGGTGGAGTCGGTGGTGTAGACGGATCCTGGGAAGAGGAGGAAGAGGAGAAGGAGAGGAGGAAAGAGGAGGAAGAGGAGGAGAGGAGGAGGAGGAGGAGGAGGAGGAGGAGGAGGAGGAGGAGGAAGAGGAGGAAAGAAAGAAGAAGGAAGGAGGAGGAGGAGGAGGAGGGAGGAGGAGGAGGAGGAGGAGGAGGAGGAGGAGGAGGTTGCAGGCCCTGGGAGGAGGAAGAGGTGATGGTGGAGTCAGTGTGTAGACGGATCCTGGGAAGAGGAGGAACAGGAGAAGAAAGGAGGAGGAAAAGGAGAAGAAGGGAGGGAGGAGGAGGAGGAGGGAGGAGGAGGAGGAGTTGCAGGCCCTGGGAGGAGGGAAGAGGTGATGGTGGAATCAGTGGTGTAGACGGATCCTGGGAAGAAGAGGAAGAAGTAGAGGAAGAGGAGGAAGAAGAGAAGAAGGAGGAGGAGATGGGAAGAGGAGAAGAAGAAGGAGGAGGAGATGGGGGAAGAGGAGAATAAGAAGGAGGGAGGAGGAGGAGGAGGAGGAGGACGAGGTAGGCCCTGAGAGGAGGAAGAGGTGATGGTGGATTCGGTGGTGTTGGCGGATCCTGGGAAGAGGAGGAAGAGAAGGAGGAAGAGGAGGAAGAAGTGGAGGAAGAGGAGGAAAAGGAGGGTGAGAAGGAG